TTTATTTTCGGCTTTTGCCGACTGGTTGACTGAATGACTACTGGAGTAGAAAAATTTAATTAAATTGAAATTAATTTGACAGGATATTGCAGGCGCCACCAGAACTATTAATAATGCCCCATGTGGTAAGGGTAATGGCAGTGGCAGTGGCAGTGGCCGTCGGAGTGGGTGTTTGAGCCTCGGTGCATGTGAGTGAGCGTTTCGGGACAAGACAAATGTGAGCCAAATAAATTCTCATGTTGCGCTTTTGACTCGCTCGCTTTTCCCGTCAAAATTGCACAAAGAAAAGCGGAAAACAGCGGAACATAGCGGCACAGAAAACAGACAAAATAGCGAAACCTACAGACTTCCAACCACCCCCCCTTCGCACACTCTAGGCTCGTGTGAGCCTCAATAAATCATTGCATACATTCGAAGCTGAGGAAAATACGCAATTTTCCAGCCAGCGGCACATAATTAATTAAATTTAACTTTTAAGCACTCAGCCATACCCCAGCAATATCACTCATACGCACAGTTGTTGCCGCTCTGGCCTGGCGCCGCCGACACTTGGCATTGACATACGCACAAATAAATAGACGCTATAAATTCAATTCCCATTCTCGTGGTCGAACTCGTACGGATTCGCACTCCCAGTCCCAGTGCCAGTCCCAGTCCCATTCTCATTTGCCATTTCCCTATTTGCTTTCTCATTGAGCAAACTTGCCCGAAATATTTTCCCCTTACAATGCAAAAACTTTCGTTTAGGTGTGCTATAAATCGCGTGCTCTTTCAGTTTTGGTGCCGCTCGAATGCTGACAGCTCTACAGCTGTAAAGCTGAGACTCTTCCGAGTTGTGGGCGTGGCACATCATTTTAAGGTTCAGCGGGAAAAGAAGAAGGACATCGCGGAGGAGGAAAGGACAGAAAATGCCAGTTCACGCAGGAAAACGTGCTAAAGTCAAATAAATAACAAAACATTGGCGGACAGCGAATGAATTTATGGCCAAGGCAAAGGCAGAAAAAGTGAAAAATTTTCAAGCAATTGGATTAGGAAAAGGCGAATGCTTGATAGAGTGGAAACAGAAGTCGGCTCGGTCTTCTCTGGATATCTCATTCCCAGACTGGCCAGAAATGAGATTAATGATTTTTTAAATGTCTTGCAAAGCAGCAGCACAGTGCCCAAAACTGCCCCTTCAGACAACCCAGTGGATGAACTGGGGAATCCACTCCAAGTGACTGACAACTGACGGCGACAATGATGGAGCAGAGATCCGCAGAGTCCTGTTGAACCGAGTCGCTTCGGTGTCGAGTGCCCTGTGCACATCATTGGGCATTAGGTATGCATGCCGTAGTGCCTGGGCCTCGCACTCGGAAAGATGTTGAGCAATGCGACCAGAGACAATGACAACGAACGACAACGGGAGCTCCAGGACCAGCAGCAGCAGGAGCCGGAGCAGGAGCAGAAGCAGAAGCATAAGGAAAATGGTAGCCGGGTTCGATAATGAAGTTAAAAATTCCATACATACAAATACAAACAGACAGGCAGGGCAGGGAGAAAGAGAGCCCAGGCCGCACGAGTGTCTGAAAAAGAGGAAGATAGTGTCAGAGACAAGGATGCAGTTGTTGTTGCTGCTGTTGCTGCTGTGCGGCATTTGCCTTTGGTATTTATGAGTACGTTGTCCTTGATATGCCTGCGGAATTACTAAATGTCTCTCACTTGACACTAACTCACACGCACACAGACATGCAAAGATCATCAGCCATTCACTCATTCATTCACTCTCTGACTCTGACTCTGACTCTGACTGTCTTTGACTAGGCCCGAACCGGATCCATAGCTGTTGCTTAACACTGTCCGCAATATGTTTATTGCCACGCCCCAAAGTTGCACACGTACACCTTCTTCCCCCCCCCCTACTACTTATACTATTACGGGTACATATATATATATATTTTTATCTTTTACGTGCAGCTATGAGCTCAAGGCGAAATTTAAATAGAAATAGCATGTTGATGTTATTTGGAGTAGGTTCATATTTAATTTAATATGCGAGACGCCTTCTCCTTTCATCTCTCTTTCTCCCTCGCTCTCTTTAGTTTCAGCATGTGTGTGTGTGTGTGTGTGTCTGTGCGTGTGTCTGTGTGTTATAAATATTTTAATTTATTTTGTCGAGAACTCGCAAGGATGGATGTGCACTGCTCTCTTTAATCCACCATAGACGACGGCTGCAGTCGAGAGCTGTTCGAGCGAATCCCCCGATGCTGGATGTAAGCTCTGCCAAGACGAGCGACAATCCCAATGCATTTTGGGGAATGCCAGTCCCAGTGCCACCCCTAAGAATGCTGCAGTTCCGCCTTCTTGTTTGCCCTTGTCACACACACTTCGATTGCGTGTGTACGCTGTCGGAGAACAAAAACTTCACGATTCCGTCTAGATAAATAAAAGTGCGCCGCCTGGGGGACTGTACAAAGCAGGAGGAGGTGCGGGTTGCAGGGTGCATGGCACAGGGCCCAGGGCTTAGGGATGATGGGACCACGCCCTTACCCAGAATCAGAAACTCAAGTGGCAACAAGTGTAAGTGGGCTGATCGACCAAGTGCAGATAACCAGTGAAGTGGTCTGAGAGACCTACATAAGCAGGTTCCAGGCAGGGCAACTGAAGGAACTCGTCTCCAGATTGTGTATGAAATCAGGCAGAATGAGAAACCAATTTGTGTGGAAAATACAAAGGCAACAGCAACAACAACAACAACAGCAGCAACGAAATTAAATTGGCCGAAGGGTTTAAGTTTTTCCTTTGCTCCACGCGACTCCACTTCCCTCTTCCAAATGTCTTTCCAATTCTCCCAACCGCTTCGCGAATTTTGAAGGTGAAGTCGGTCGAAAACATTGCTGAAAGCAAAACTTTTCCCAAGTCGCTGCTAAAGTCGATGGCAATAAATATTATTGGTAACTTTTTCGTTTTCATTCGGCCAGGGAAGGAATTTTAATTCAATGCGAGCCAGCGAAAACCTCAGAAAAGGTTAGAGCCGGAAACATAACCAAGACTTAGCCGCAAAGAAGCCAACTCTGAATTATTTAAACAGAAAAATAGTTAAAGTTCAACAGCAGAAAGTCCGTACAGTACACTGTGCGTGTGTGCCTGGTTAACCGGGTCGGGGCCCAGCATTACGGGATCATTTTCCGCCCTCCTCCTACACAAATGAAGCCCCAAAGCCACTGGCGGAGTGTGTGTGCGTTGGGGGAAAACTGGATGGCCACTAAACGTGGGCCCAGTGTGCGACGCAGTGGAAATGCACTCGAATAAACACAAAATTTATATGAACACTGGAAAGACAGATTAGGGCGGGCAGATTGGGGGTGCTCGGGGGTGCTCGGGTGTGCCTGCTTTGTGTACTTTTTGCGGGAGCAAACAAAAGCAATTTTTGCGTTTTATAAATTCCTTTGGTTCCTGCCTTTAGCCTGCTTTATGGCACATTTCCATTTGTGCCACAGAAGAACCCACAAACGAACAAACGAAAGAGACATTGCTGTTTCCCATCTAAGCAAACCATTTAGCATAGCATACTTTTGAGAGCATTGTCAAAGTTCTGGTCGTCCTGGGCAAAACTTTTTTGATCGACCCAAAGTACGGCATCAGCTTTGTGGAGTTGCAGCAGCTTTGCAGCAGGGGGCACCTGTTCCCGTCGACAAATGCTTTCCGCTCTGTGGCCGTAATGGAGCCCCAGCACAGACATCAGAGCTCCGGGCCCATCCTCGTTTCTGACTTTTGGTCACATAAAACTCAATTGAGTCGTTAAAAATACAAAAATGTGATAAATAATCAAATTACATGTACTTGATGCTTGCCCAGCCCAGATTCAGGGCTTCAATATTTTTATGACGTCGACATTTTTTTTGTGTAAATTTTCATATATTCCTGATTTCACATTATTTTTGGCAAAATCGTTGATGATTTGGCTTTCGCCTAATGCCGCGTGGATTTGCCATTTTTCATTATAGCCACAGCATAGGCCCGGGAAGGCCTTTGCCGTACGTATTCCATGCCATGCGTACGTTTTAAATTTCCAATTAGATCGGAAAGCAAACTAATTTCATGCAAATTGCTGGCACAACAAAAATATCTTTCACTGCGAATCTTCGTTGCGAAATTCTGTCAAAACTGTGCGTTGATCAGTTGAGCTTTTCGTTTTACATTTTTCACTTTTCGTTTGTTTTATTTGACGGCCAAAATTGCCCGCATTGAAACCGAAGTTTTAGCACATGACTCGGATGAGTTTCGGAACGGCATCGGCATCGGCATCGCATTCCTCTGAGCTCTGAGTGCTGTCATTTAAACAGATTAATGTGCTGCCATCAATGGCATGTCATGTTCCATGACGCGTCGCTTCGATGCTATTATGCATTTGATTGGCATTTGTTTGTGCACAGCAATCAGGCACTATACTACACTCTTCCACTGTCCTGGCTACAGCACCAGCACAAGCCTGTCAAAACCGACAGATGTGGGAGAGCGCCTACTATTAATGAGCACACAGTCAGACCACTGAATCTGTCAACAGGTAAATGGTAAATGTAATTTTCGTGTGGAGCATTTTAATTAGCCGTAAGTCGATAGTCGCAAAAAAGGGCAAACGCTGACAGCTCTTTGATGTGCCCCTGACACTATCCGGCTGGTGGATGTTGCCCCCTGACACTGTCCAGCATCATCAGGGACCAGAGTACGTCAGCAGTACGGACGTCCGCGGACGTTAATGGGTAGAATTCACAGTCTTGGCGACACTGTCAGACACCCGTGTCAGGGGGCCATTTGATATGCCCCTGACAGTTAGCACATTTGGCGCATTTTTTCCTGGCTCAGTTTCTCTTTTTTCCCCCCTTTTTATACAGTGCCCTGACAGACCGGACCAGAGTGCCGATCCACCGCTGACAGCTTACAACATTTGACTGGCTATTTTTGGGGCGGCATTTAGTCATTTTAGCGAGTCCGTTTGATCAAAGGTAAAACACTTAAGCACATAGCGGCTGCTCGGACTCGGACGCCTGCGATCCGATCTCTATTTGCTCTGAATGCTTAGCCTAAACATACAAACTTATCGTCTAAGGTGATATAGGGGGACATAGGGACTATATTCCTGGTCAATCGTCGCCGCAGCGCACGTCGCAGCTCTCCTGGGTGCAGAAGCGGTTCCGGTTGCCGTTGCAGCCCTTGTAGGTGAAGGATCGGCAGATGCCCTTGTCGTAATACCACCGGGTGACCGCCTTGGTCTGGTCCTTGCTGTTGCAGAAGTTTCCCTCGTTACGGCCCACATAGCAGTTGACATTGTCTGAAAGGCAAAAATTCACTTGTTAATTGTTTCCGGGAAATGGTCTGTCGCGATGCGCTCCAGTGCCGCTCGTTTGGCCTCATTTGGTGCAATTAAATGCTTTTGTTTATATGGGACACAAGGCAAACGGCAGAATATTTCATAATTCCCTGGCCACGTTGCAGTCATAAGCGAAAAAATAGAACAATTTCGTGGCCAGAATTGACTGACGGGCAGAACTTGGCAAGACCCAGAACACTGCAACCATTAAAATGTACACAGTACGAGTAGAAATGATATATAGCATTAAGTTCTGTCGATAATCAAGTAATATTACGACATCGGTCTTTACTTTGTAGAGCTTTTACGCATCGATCATTATTCAAGGGAATATAAGATGCTGCTATACGATGCCGTCGTCTGATCATTCCTCTACGATGACAATGCTCTCATCTTGTCAGTCCTCTGCGAGACCATGTGGCGTCTGAGTCATTCGAACTATTTCTAATTATTGTCCAGAGCGGTAATTTAGCAGTTTTACGAGCCAGATTTTGTTGCTTGCCCCAGTACTTACTCAGCTCCTTGCATACCGCATCAGTGCCAGCGCTCGATGCCTCAATTTGTGCGGTGTGTGTCAATAGAATGATGGACAAGAGGCCGACTAGTGTCGCCCAGAGGAACGTCAAATTGATTTTCAATTTCATGTTTTTCACGCGGCGAACAACGAAGGGGAATGAAGCGGCACCAGCTGCGTCTGCGGCTCTTGGCTATAGAGGTGTTCTCGTGTGTGGTTGGACAGAAACTGGCAGAAGAGCACAACGGAATGGCAGACCACAGCAGACCAGGCCGGGCCAGGGGCTGTTCCAATATTTTCGTTTCTGGTATTTTTAAGTAATTTGCGCTACTTTCGAGTACAAAACGTGCGAGTCGATACGATCCGATCCGAAGTAGACTGAATAGAGAACTCACAGTCTGTGGGCATTTTCAGTTTATATACGAAATGCCGGAAATTGTTCGTACAGTTTTCGTACGACCCATACCTAATCCCATTCGCCAGATACTTGGGCAGGTTCTGCTTCGGCTGCTGCTTCGGAAATTCGAAATATAAGTATTTCGAGCATTGAGAGCTTGACAGCTTTCTGGTATGCTCAATACGCATCTCCAACAATATAACAATTCAACAATCCAACAGTCCATGCATCTGTCCATCCATTCATCCAACCCGTGGCCCGCCCGTGTCCATCAGCGCTAAGTAGGAGAAGATATTTTCGGTCAACAAAAGTCTCGTTGGTCCCACCGTTGCGCCGCGTCGCACGGGCCAAATTGCACTTAGTTTTATCTTGGGGCGTTTACTTTGCGCTCGTTTGCATAATTTCCAACTTATTGAATATTTTCCACATAATTAATTTTAATTATTTGTGTTTCTTTCGGGCGTTTGAATTAATTTAGATAAGAGGCGGTGCGGCGTGCTGGGGTCGGAAAAGGGCCAAAAGGGTCGCGCACTGCAGTCACTGGGGATCTCTCTGCCATTGTCTCTAATTACAATGGGCAGCATTTGTTTTGGGCATTTTTTTTTTTGGTCTGTGCCTCTGCTTTATTTCTTTTTTGGTTTCTTGGCAAGTGGCTCTGGCATCGGTTCGCGCGTTCTTCTCTCCCAGTTCTCCCATTTTATATTTTCCGCACTGTTGTTGCTCCTATTTCGGCGAGAAAAAAGAAAAAATCAATCTTCATTTAAAATTCAATTTAATGCGCTGCGTGCATAAAGGAAGTTCCACAGCGTCTTGGCCCCTTGTCCTGGGCCTTCGCCATCGGTCATCAAGAGTATTGGGTTCGTCGGGAGAAAATTAAAACAAAAGAAAAAGAATTGTATATATTTTGGACTCGCTGACGCATCAAAGAGAATTTTCTCGATGGTGTCGCGTGTCGCGAATGCCGCACAGAGGCATTAGGCAGCCTCCATTGCCTCCATCTCACAGAATGAAAGGGGAATGCAGGAGAAGTCCCCATTGAAAAATGCCAAAAGTCAAGTCGTGGGCGAGAACTAATGAATATTTCACCATCTTACCGTCTTGACCGTTTGCTAAAATTTAAAAAAGCATGGAAAGAATTCTGATAAATGTATACTTGAAAGGCCACAAGACTCACACGTTACAGTCCACGTGTCGTAGGAGTAATGCATAAGGAAACGCATCAATTTGTTCAAAAGGAACTCTTCCACTGATAGGAAAATCATCGAAATTACACAAAACGGAAGACTAAAAATCCAAAGAGGATGTTCTTCGAACACAGAACGGAAGTCTTGACTAAAGTCGGTTCCAGGTATACAAAACCCACTCAAGTGGAAGAGCTGATGGAGAGCCAGCCAACAGTGGAAGAGCAGCCAGTGGCACTGAATGAGAAGATATGTCGAGATGTGGAGATGTGGAGATGGGGCAACGAGGCGTGTACGTGATGTATCAGCGCTACTAAATCAATATCCAAATATGGCGTCTAATCAATCGGGATCGGAAAAAAAACTCATACTCGTATAAAAAGTGGACGCCCATCAAGTTCATCCTCTCGGCCACGTTTCTGTTGAGGCCACAATTTGTGACTTTCCACTTGTTTTGACCAATTTGGCGATTTGGTGATTTGTCGCCTTTAATTCCCCCAACATTTTTGGACGCACTCAGGCAAAAGTTATTTAATGGCTGCACTTGAACGTGCCGAAGGAAAGAACCAGCTGAAAGAAATGGAGAGATTACAGAGAACGAGATAGCGAGTGAGTAATGGAGAGAGAGATGGGGAGAGACTGGAGAGTGAGCGATTTAGTAGTTGGAAATTGAGTGAAAAGCATTGAGGTCGGTCTCTCGCATTTTGAGGATATTCCTTGCATATATTTCACCTTTTGTTGATGCACCTTCCATGCCCATTCCCACTTCCATCCTTCCATTTTGCATTTGATTTCTTTTTCACTACTGGGGAATTATTCTTTCAATCCCTTTTCATGCGCTTTGAGATTTTCCCTCAGTTTCCTCAAATTGAGGAAATGAAACATTTCAATGATTTGCTTCCGGCCTTACTGTCCATCGGAGCGATTCATAAACAGACCAGAGAGAAAGAGTTTTGTTTATTACCTTTAAGGCGCTTTCGCCGCAAGACCTCGATAAATTATTCAAATTACAGCTTTGATCTGTCCTTTGAGCACGGACTCTGGGTTTCATTCTTCTAAGGGAAAAAGGCCAAGCAGATATTATTGATTACAATGGCACGAGAAGACATTTCTTACACAACATTGCCACAGCAGCAACAGTGACACTGAAAATGTTTCGCCATTTGCCCCACAATGATGGACCGACCGACCATTGCAGGCACCAGGGCCGAGCGTTGTGTTTTTAGTTAAAATTTCGCAATTTGCAATAAAAATTCCATTTTTTGGAATTCAGTTTGTGCGCACGCCCCAGCCCCAGACCCTCGCTCCGGCCACGGCCCCGGCCACGGCTCCGGCCCCGGCCACGGCTCCGGCCCCGGCCACGGCTCCGGCTCCTGCTTCATCTCCAGAAAAGCTTCGTCTTGTGGCCTTGCGGATAGGCAAGGCAACGAAGAGCGTCAGCAAAAGGATACGCAGCATCCAACGAGGCTATCCGGGGCTATCAACCGGCAATTATTATGCGTCCCGAACTGCACGTGCCCCATACAATGTGTGTGTATGTGTGTAAACTGCTCTGCGTTTGTGGGAGTGTGGGTGTAAGTGTCAGTGTGCTTGTGTGGTGGCAGCTGGGGCGTACCGACAATAATTTAATATCAAAACATATTTTACTTGCATGCCGAAGAAGCTGAGGAATGCGCTCAAAAGCTTAAGGGAGTAGAAGCCAGCGAAGCAAGTCGAATAAGGAGGCGATGAAGCGTTCATCTTGTCCTTACGTCCTCACTCGCCCTTTCTTCATCTCCTTGTGTATCGTAATTATTTTAAAGCCCCTGGAGGCGCCTCAAAAAAATCCACAGCCTGGACCACAAAAATGCGTCGCCTGATGTGGAGTTATGGCTGCAGCTGTCTGTTGTTTAGGTGGGGTGGGGTGGGCGGCAGGGATGAGGAGACTGAAAGCCAACTCCATTGTGTATTTTCCTCATTTCCGACTCAAATGGATTTTGATTGTCTGCCTTGGCCTCGCTACGTGTCTGCCATTTGTCTGCGCCCGTTTTGGGCATCTTCGAGCCAGCTCCGGTGGCAGCCAAATGACTTTCTTTGCTTGGCCATTGCCTCGTTTGGCTGTTGCTTCGGGCCCATTTAGTTTTATTGTAATGATTTCTATTACCACACTGCCTCGCTTTCACTCTCAGTCCCCACGTAGTTTGCTGCAACATTGCAGTTGACCAGCTTCCAGCTTCCAGCTTCCAACTCCCAACGCCCATATCCTCAATGGACTGTTGGCAGTTTACGTGGCCATCGCGCCTAATGAGTAGTTATTTCCGCTTCTATTTCTTGATCAAGTCGTGCATGGTGCGACATTTGCGGTAGTTAAGGCTTATGCCGGGACACGTCTCCCTATTAATTGCCGACAATTTCTGCCGCTGTTCTGCTGATGGCTTAACTTCATGAATGGTCTGCTCTGTTGGATGGTCTCTTGCTCTAATTGAATTTATGTCATATTTTTTGTATCGATATATTTATGTGATACGAGTACAGTGCTTTCCTGTGTGTGTGCCCAGCACAAAGCTTTGATATTTATGAATTTAATTTGGAAGCTGTCACAACAATAGATAATAAAGCGAGTGAAAAGTAGTCTTTTAAAAAAAAGATGAGACTGGGAACAAAAAATTTTAATATTCGCGCCGTCTTCTGTGCTCTCGCTCGCTGTTGCAATGAATGGGGAAAAGCATAATTAATTTTAATGCGCTTTTCCGCTGTTTTGTTTTCCAGAGCTATCATTTCCATCACGGAATAGCTTTAATTATTCAGCTCTATCAAAGGCGGGGCTTTCCTGTGGCAATGCCATCACGGGTTGTCCCCGTCCGCTCACTCAATTTGTCAGTGAGGAGGAGCCCTGCTCAAAGGAAGAGATTTTCGAGCCCCCCCCTCGCATATTGGTTCCACGAATTTGATCCGTTTTTTCCCAGCACTCCATTGACACCGACGTACACTCAAACCAATACAAACCGAACCAAACCAATCCACATGCTGATGATTATCAATTTGCGAGATTCGTTTTGGCGTAGAAAATTGTTTACCCGTTTGGCAAGCAAAATGAGAATGAGGGAGCCCCAACCACTGAACCAGTGTACCACTCAACCACCACCCACCGTTCACAGCCACGGACCATTTTCCACGCCCTATGCGGTGGGGAAATTGAAAATGCAAACAAACAAACAAACACACATGGAAATTGAAGTCGTTTGTGTGGGGAATCGCTGGCTTCCGGCTACGGAGTAGATGGCGTCACGTCTCGCCTGCCTGACTGCCTGACTGGCTGCCTTCCTTGCAGGATTAATGGTGGTGTAATTTATTGAAGTTTGCCAATAAAACCGGGGTGGCACAATTCAAATTAAACTCGTCTTCCCCTTGACTTTCTTAATGGCAAGTGCATTTCCCCAGATTTCCACAGATTTCCGCAAACATTTGTTGCTTGTCAGCGGCGAAGGGATCGTGCTTCTACCAGGGAAAATGCAGAACACTCTGCTGGCGGCTGTGTGTGCGGGCGTTGTCTTGCTTTCCATAAAGTTGGGTAAAACTAGCAAATGCTATAAAAAGTTGCTCAAGTTTTAAATGCAAACTGTGTGCGAGTGCCCTGCATTGTGCCGCAGCAACAGTGGAAAGTTATGCAAATTTGTTGCAACAAAGTAGCGTTTTTGTTTCTCTTTGCCTGCTAGTGATTTATGTGGCCAAGACCGTGACCGCGTCCATTCACTGAGCATAATGCGCTACTTAATGTCCCTCAGTAACAAGCAATGAATGA